TTTTATGGAATATAAGATTGGCATTGATATAGTCGATCATTCAATTCACTAATTTTAAAACACTTTTTTTGGACTCTTGCACTTAGTTTTTTTTTGTGAAACTTCAGAAGCAGAGCAATACGAAAATCTTGTTTTTAAATAATTAAATTATAAGCTTACTTTTTTTTTTGGCTAAATGACACTGTTAAATAAAATAAATTGTTAAGAACACGTCTTTTAGGATTCTGAACGGATGTTTGTTTTAGCACCGATAAAAGGTTTTAGCTGGGTTTTTTTTTTTTTTTTTTGTATGTAACTGGTTGCAGTGTTTTGTTAAATTTAATAAGCTTTAGTGAATTAAACAGATATTGGCAGTGAAAATTGTTGTAAATTGTTCATCAACAATTGTCACAAATATTAGTACCATTTTTCTCCACTTTTCTCAGCTCTCTTAGAGTGGTTACTGTCTTTTTTAGCATTCAAAAAAAATTTTGCAAAATTTATCGTTTTTTTCTCTTTGGTTGTATTTATCTGTTTTTTTACTAAGTTTAAACGTTGAAATATGTAGCTACTATGATTCTAAAATATAGGAAGAAGGCATAATTTGCTTAGTTTTACCTAACCCATTCAGTTCTGTTTGATCAGTGTACTACAGAATTATTTAGCGATGTTCTTATCGCATATTTGTCTGCTTTTATAGGGCGTTGTCGTTTAAGAATTGAAATTTCTAACCTTTTTTTTGTATTCTGCTTTGCTTTTTTTTTTTTTTTGTAGGGGGCAGTTTATCGTCTACTTCAACATACGACAGACTTAAACAAATAACGTGGACTCACTAATAATGTTGAAAGTTGCTACTATGTTGGAACAGATCTTTTTTTTACAGTTTTGCTTAGGCAAGAAGTTTTTTGGCCTATTCTGATAGATCATATGATGCAATAGTTCAGAATTCTTTTCTATGAAAATTTTAGATTAGGTAAACGGTAAAGAAAATGTACTGTTGTAAAAAAAAAAAGAAACATATTAACTAGCTTATAAGACAAGTCTTTTGAGGTGTTGGACATTCTTTGCTTCCCCTCTTCCCTCCTTAAAAAAAATAAATAAATAAACTTCAAACGTGAAGATGTAACTTGCAGTTGAGGCAAAGTGTTGTCAATAAATTATTTGCTATCAGAGTGGAAAATAAGGTTTTTAAGGGATTTTTTCGTGGCTGAGTATAGGAGATTGGCTGGGAAATCGTCGAGAACTTTATTAATTGAGGACAAAAAAAACGATAAATTTTATTTCGCACTTTTAATCTTCAGATTTTTTTGTTATTTTACGTCACTTTTATTTTTTCTTGAAAAGAGATGGCAGCAACTAATTTTATCTACTTAAACATTGGAAAAATTGTTCAAAATTTTTAAAAAAAATGAATCTTTAACTGGAAAAATTTTATTCCAAAAAAGACCATATTTTTTGAGTTCAGAATTTTTTTAAACATAGTTTTGTTTTCTAAAAAGACAGTTCAAAGTCCATAGAGATTAGCAGTTTTTTTTATTATCACTTAAAACAGTAAGGGTACATGGAGAGGAAGGAAATTTTTATGTGAACTGATTTTTTTTTGGTGTACCATTGAGTGTTTTTTACAGTACAATTATTTGAACTAAGATTTACATTTAAAGGAGATTCTGATATTTTGTAAAAGTGAAGGACAAAAAATTTTTCGTTTTTTTTTTGTTTTTACTTTTGAAATTTATTATTATTGTTATTATTATTATCAATACGGTTATTATGATTAATGTTATGATTAGGAATACGTCATGAAGATAGCTTAAAAACCATTAAAAAAAAGGATCGTGAAATAAATGAATACCTGCTGTTAGAACCATTGCAATTCCAAAAACGTGGGTTGAAGTTAGCCATGGATCAAGGTTTATTGGAATTTTAGCTTCACTACTTCTGTACAGCGAAATGATGCTTGGCATTGCGTGTCGATAAGGCGAGTCGATTGCAATGCACTTAACGGCTATCTATCAGTAAGACATCGTCGTTGATATAATTAGGCAATGCAAAATCAATTGTACTCAACCAGTTACGCCCTTGGTCTTGTACTTCATGCTGTTACAAACCTTCCGGAGTTTTGTGCCAAATTTCTTCTTGTCCGCCACCCCACAGTGCGAATATTACCTCCACAAGTACAGTCATTGTTGAATCCTGATTTTAGCAGGTTAATTTTCTGCCAGTTTCTTTGATCTTAGCCAGTTTTTTTCATTAATCTTTTTTACACAACTTATTCTTGATCTGTTATATTTTAATTCTTAATTTTACTTTATTATCGTCAAGAAAAAGTAACTGATGTATAAATGCAGACGCTGATGGGTAATCATTGTGAATCATTTAGTGAGTTATTTATAGTCATTACGAGTAGTCTCTATTTTTTGTGGTATAATTTGGTTTTACAATTTTTATCTGTTTGTTTTTGCTTGATCATTCAGTAAATTATTGTTTCACTGCAAAAAAATTTGACTTATTGAAGAAAATTGTGGATAAACGTGAAATTGGCATTTGCACTTAACTTACAAAAAGATGATTTGGTCAAATGTTCCTTCTATGCTATTGACGAAGAGGAATCTGTTGAACTAGAGAGAGTACTTATTGTCGACATTGGTTCCGCAATTTATGACTCTGATGAAGTCTGCATTAGCTATCTTTGTGCATTCAATCTGTCACCAAAGGTTGCTAACAGGTTGATATCATTAAAACTTAAGGTTAGTTTTAACTTTTATCGGGAACTTTTGGCTTTAATACAAAATAAATTTTGGTTTTAGGAATGCAAAAAATTAAAAGAATTGCCTGTTCTTTCTTCATTAATCAAAATTTCTGTATTAAGGACTCCTTTAGCTGATAACGGTGTAATAGATGACGGTATTCGGACTTATTATTCCTCAAAAAGGTACCGTGGTTAGTCGCTCTAGAGAATGATTTTAATTTTTTTTTTGCTTGGAAATCTCATATTTCTATCTGTTTGGTTTCTCATAATTGGAAGATTTGGAATTGTTTTAGTCTTAGTCAGGTTAAACCTTACTGTTTACCTAATCTAGGCGTAAATTTCAAGACCAATTTGTTGTAGGAAAATTTTTTTTAGTATGCTTCTCACAAAAACCAAAAGTAAATCAGATATTGCCGGTCCATGTTTATTATTCTTGTAATCAGAAATATTTCATCGGTATTTAAGTTATAAAAACTGGACTTTTCTGGCTCAGTTCTTCTCTTTTCTTCAACGTTTAACTCTGAATAATTGTTTAGGTTGGTAAGTGTTGGAGAAGTAATTGTGGTTGAAGGCTTTAATAGAAAAACTTATTTACCTGTCAGTATACCAGTTAAAGTAAAATTTTTCATTTATTAACTGACATTCATATCATATTATTACTCAGTTCGTTTTCCACATTTTTAAAAATGTTGTAGAATCTGTAGCTATAACGATTCTAAAGATTATTTGATAAGATTTTTCTTATTTAGGACTTGGATTTTTACTGCACATTGTTGATAACATTCTTGCAGATACTATATGTGGAAGATATTGGTATCCAAGCAGTGGCTTTTTTTTCTAGGGAAACTGGTTCAGCTTTTCAAGTATTTCTTTTTTATTTTGATTCTAATATTATGTAAATCAGCTTCTATTTTTTTAGACATTTTGATTTTCAGTGGAAAAGTGATGCTTTTAGGTGACTGAAACATGTGATTACGTTCCTGTTCTAGAGCCTTTACCGTATTTGCCACCAACACTAAAATCTGTTTGTGAAAAGGTTTGTAATCTGATTGACGTTAATGTGAACTGTGGTGAATCCGGCAAAACTGTTTTGAGTGCCTTGTTGCACGGACAGACGGGTTGTGGTGTTGTTGAAGTGCTGAGGCATGTGGCAGCTTATAATTCTGTATCCCTTTTGCGGTTTGACTGTTTGGAATTCTTGGAAGATTCGGTTACTTCAACAATGCAAAAAATTGAGGAAGTTTTTCAAGAAAGTTAGTTTTCATCTTATTGACTTCTCCAACAACTTTCTGCTGCTTTGCTTCTATAAGCATTTTAGAGAAATGTGCTGAGTAGTTGTTTTTAGTTGAAACGTTCCGTGGTTTTTGCATAGCCTCGTTTTCGGATATTAACTATATTGGTTGTGACGGTACAGAAGTTATGAAAACCGGTAACAAATTAGTTATTTTCAATGTTTTATTTTTTTTTTT